TTTTTCTTGTTTTTGAGACAGCCCCCTACGTGGGTTGGCTAGGGGGGGGGGGGGCTGGTACGAGCAGTCGCCCCAACTATGTCCCCGCTGGAGGCTCCACAATTTCGTCAAAATGGACAAATTAAATGTCATTTTGTATTTTTTGAACGAAATTGAAAATCTATGTTTGGCCCAAAATTCATGAAATACTATGGGGTACGACATTCCCAAAACGCCCTACCCCCTCGACGTATTTGGGCTTAGCTGAATTCCAGATACATCGGGACAGAAAAGTGCCGGACCCCTTGGATGTACGTAGACTTCAGCTCAGTCTAAATACGTCAAGGGGGTAGGGCATTTTCGGAACACTGTACCCCCTATTTCATGAATTTTTGGCTAATTCGTTCAAAAAAAAAAAAAAAGTGCTCGTTTTCTCGTTCAAAAAAAAATAAAATGTGCTCGTTTTCCAGCACGTGCTCCTCCCCACGAAATAGATGGAGTCATGAATTGATCGCGAAAAAAAAAAAAAAAAAAAACAGGGCCACCTCCGGCTCCCGCGGATTTACCAACAAGTGCCTTGCCTATAAGAAGTGGGATCAGACTCTAATTCACAGACTCTAATTCACCCTTCCTAAGAAGCTCAGAGTCTTCCTTAGGAGCCAAGATGATGCGCCACCGCCAATGTTGATGTTGATGTTGATGATAAAAGTTGATAAAGGGTGAATTACACATTTTAGTTCACAAGTCATGGGGATACAAGATATGTTGGGGGCCTATCCTACTGTAGTGTAGACCYTTTTTTTTTTTTTTTTTTACTTTTAATATTTATTTATTTTTATTGTAACCGGAAACCGGGTCCGGCATCCCTCACATTAATGACACACCATGGTGTGTCGGGCTGGGCAAGGCACTCCTGGCCAAACCCATCCCCACCACAGCCCACAATACCTGTCTCGGATGGTTTGTCAAAAAGCAAAGAACAACTACGAATCTATTTGACCTGCTGAAATCAAAGGAAAGAAAAAGAAAATGCAAGGGCTTCAAGTTTGCGTAAGGCCTACTACTACCATAGGGTCATGTCTTTTCTTTCAGTCCGAGTCCAGAGGCCTGTGGGCAGAAGTAGCGGCCGTCTGGGTAGTCTAGGGCTTTTTTTTTTTTTTTTTTTTTTTTTTTTTTTTTTTTTTTTTTTTTTTTTTTCCTACTAGGGCTACTGTAGGGCAAGGGCGAGGTGCTGTCTGTGATACGTCCCTCCAGTCAAATGTATTGGGGTAGTGGGGGGTCAAGACTCAAAACTTCAAAAGCAACCCCCGGTGAGGGGGGAAAAGTAGTCTAGGGCTTTTTTTTTTTTTTTTTTTTTTTTTTTTTTTACCACTTATGTGCATGCGCCTTTTTTTTTTTTT